TAAGACTTAAAAGGAGCAAAGGCACGTGAGCCTTTGCAGGAAGCAACGTTTGTTCATTGGGTTCAGCTTAAAGCCTGAAGCTCTGTTTGATTCTGGACTCCGTGTGGCTTTGCCAATTAGGTCTTTGGCAGCGTGTCAAGGGAGATAAAGGTGGGTGATTATCCCGAAGGACTTCTCCCGAAGGACTTTTTATAACTACTTGGGACTCATCTGTGAATGAACAGAATTTACAGCTGTTGCAATAAAAGAGGTTTTTGGGACTACTCGTGTGTTTTAATGACTCGGGAAGCCTAGGTCAGAACACTCAGTGCATTATGGTGTGATATGCTGGCTTGACAGCCGCGGATAGAAAAACATTACAGAGGGTGGTGAGCACATCGCAAAACATCGTGTGCTGTCCCCTGATACCACTAGATGACATCACTAGGGCTTGCTGCCTTAGAAGAGTGAGGAAAATCCTCAGGGACCACTCACACCCTGGTCAGCCCTTCTTTATTCTCCTGCCATCAGGAAGGAGATATAGAAGCATAGGCAGATGTACAAATAGGCTGAAGAACAGTTTTTATCTGTGGGCTGTCAGACTCCTGAATGAAAAATAACTACAACAACATAGTACGATTGACTTGCGGGGCCAGCGCGATGTGCAATAAGTTTGCATGGTGCAATAGGATTGGGTGATTGTTAGAAGGATTCACTGGGATAGGGATATTTTTTTGTCTTTCACTGTGAGTTGTGTTGTGCTGGGTGTGTATGTGCACGAAGGGAGGTTCAGCCAATCTCATAGTAGACATGTTGTATTCTGACAATAAAGGTTTGAATTTGAATTGAATATGAATTTGGATGCATCATGTGCTGGCCACGCCCACGCCCGGTTTAGTGAAGGGGGAAAAGTCCCGATACATCACATGATGCTGCCGTGACGATGTGAGTTTGACACCCCTGGTGTAGATAATATGACACTTCAAACTGAAGATGGCTTGTAATAGAAATATGACTTGTGTACAGGTATGATTCTCCATGTCTATATATGCACATACTGCGATTCTTTTCTACATGTAAAAAAAATAAGCAACACTTACTCTTCTCATAGTAAAATTGAATTCTCAGAGCAACATTAGCAAAAATACATTTTCTTGGAACAAAAATTAAAGCTCTAACAGTAATTAACATCAAATCAATACAATTACTCCAAGCATATCTTAAAATATCTTCCCTTTTATCATATCACAATTTGGTAGCAACATTCAGAGGGTCATTCAGAAGATCACAACACAGGATATATTTTTGTGGGAGCAGGGGAGACAAAATTACATACCCTTAGAGCAGAGGTCTTCAAATCTGGCAGCTTTAAGACTTGTGGACTTCAATTCTGGGAGTTGAACTCGACAAGTCTTAAAGCTGCCAAGTTTGAAGACCTCTGCCTTAGAGTAAAATATCTTGAATATTTGAAGCCCAGTTTCAAGTTTCCTATTAACATACCATCCTAAATTTTGGTGCTACTTAGTTGTATGGACTTCATCTCTCACGATTCCCAACCTAGCACAGACATTATTAAAATTAAGCAGTTAAAATCTGGAAATCTGGAATAATGTATCATAATCTGTAAACTGCTCATTCCCACATAAGGGAGATGAGTGGCACAAAAAAAATTAAGATAGATAGATAGATATAGATAATAGATAGATAGATAGATAGATAGATAGATAGATAGATAGATAGATAGATAGATAGATAGATATAGATAGATGATAGATAGATACATAGATAGATATAGATAATAAATAGATAGATAGATGATAGATAGATAGATAAATAGATGATAGATAGATAGATAGATATAGATAGATAGATAGATAGATATAGATAATAAATAGATAGATAGATGATAGATAGATAGATAAATAGATGATAGATAGATAGATATAGATAGATAGATGATAGATAGATAGATATAGATAATAAATAGATAGATGATAGACAGATGATAGATAGATAGATGATAGATAGATAGATTGATAGATATAGATGATAGATAGACAGACAGATAGATAGATGATAGATAGATAGATAGATAGATAGATAGATGATAGAAATGATAGACAGACAGACAGACAGACAGACAGATAGATATAGGTGATAAATTTAAGGTGTCAATCCTTACACGTAGACCAGACAGGAAACATGACAAGGTGAACTAATTCTAATTTATTGCAAGACTATATTAAAAAAATAGAATATAGAACACAATAGAATATTCTTTATTGACCAAGTGTGATTGGACACACAAGGATTTTGTCCCTAGTGCATATGTTCTCAATGTACATAATACAATAAAGTAATATAAGCATAAAGCATAAAATACCGGTACAATAATCAATCACAAGATACAAACAACAAAGTGATAAATCATAAGACACCAATAGGAGGTAATAGAAAAGAAGAGAAGAATAATGGCAATACAACCCTACTACACTGGTAAATATCCAGAGGTGGGCTTCACATAATTTAACAACCGGTTCGCCCAGAATAAAAAATGTGAGCGTGCGCGCACACCTTGCACACTTGTGCACTGCATCAAAAACATGGCGATTGTATAGGATGGGAGAGCTTTGCTCTCGCACACGCCTTGCACACATGTGCACTGCATCAAAAACACGGCGATTGTATAAGACGGGATAGTCCCGGGGTGGGTGGGCAGGCCCAGTCGCTGGCCGTAACTACCGGTTTGCCTGAACCGGTCTAAACTGGCTGAATCCTACCCCTGTAAATATCCTTAGTCATAAGACAGTGCTGTGGGAATTAGGTGTTTAGCAGAGTAATGGAAACTTGCAAGTCTGAAAATACAAACTACTCACTACCACTTTTAACTGCTAGACCCATTATTGTGGATCCTTCCTAAATTTCTTTCTCTGTCCATTAAGGCACTGGGGGCTCCTCCTTCTCTTTCCTATTGGTTTCCTAGGCAACCTTTTGCCCTTCTCCTCCAAGGTCATCCAGAGATCCATTACAGAAGAGCAGTGTAAAAGGGATAAAAGAGATTTAGATTAACAAACTAGACAATGGTGGAATTTGCAGAAATGGCAAAATTGGTGTGTTTGATGAGGGTAATACATCAGGCATGTTTTATAAAAGACTGGGCACCGTTTATGGATTTTTTTTTTTTTTTTTGCTGAAAATGGGAAAAGAATGAACGGGTGATTTATGGATTTGCTGATTAAAAAGGATTAATTATGGGAAGAACAGAATCATGTATAATTTTACAGAAAAAGGAAGGAGAGACTAAATTTGCAACTGTTCTAAAGATCAGAAGTCACTTATTTACATTTTTCCCCTCCCCTATCTGTATCACTTTTTGCATTTCTTTTCTTTTCTTTTCTTTTTTTCATTTTCTTTTCTTGATCTTACAGACAATTTGAAAATGCTAGTGAGCCACTTTGGGTTAAAAAAAAGGATTAATTAAAAACTATGGAGACAAGTAGCATCATAATATGAAGTGGGAAGGTTAAGAAATGTAGGAGAAAGGGAAAGGGATTGAACAAATAGATCCAAAACCTGCTTAGGAGCTTATGCACAAGAACAGAAATAATGATTGCTGCCAACATTGCAATTAACAAAGACGTATTTTCAATTTCGCTTTCAATTTTAATTTTCAATTTTCAATTAATTCAATTTTCAATTTTAAAATTGTTGGCTGAGCAGGTGCAAAGATAGCCAGCAAAATGATTGAAGCCTAGGAAACAGGCCTCTTGTCAGTCAACAGGAGTGCTGATTTACCACCAGCTTATCAGGTACTTAGGAACCGAGGACTTGGCAGCACAAGGAAACAACAGCCAATAGCCGGCCATCAACACACTAATCAACCAATAGGAAGCCATACCCAACCAAGCACCACATAAATAGGACTCATAGCTTAGCACGCATTCCAGTAGAGAAACGTTCCCTGAGAATGGACTCTAGCGTGTGTCCGAAAGCTTAGAAGACTAAACCTCTGGTGCCAATGACCAATCCAAATTGGATCTTGCTGTCAATATTTGTTGGAATAAAATGTTGGCATTGATTGTTTAGAACTGATTGTTTGTAATTTTGAAAAATTCCAAAGAATCTTCTTCCCTTGAGAACGTCCCCTGAGAAGAAGATTCATGTCTTCCTTCTAATTGCATACAAAACCTTTGCCAGACCAATTCTCGAATACAGCTCATCTGCCTGGAATCCATACTGTATATCGGACATTAATACGATTGAGCGGGTCCAGAGATATTTCACGAGAAGAATACTCCACTCCTCTACTCACAATAGAATCCCTTATGCCACCAGGCTTGAAATTTTGGGCTTGGACAATCTGGAACTGTGCCGTCTGCAGTCTGATCTAAGCATAGTACACAAAATTGTCTGCTACAATGTCTTATCTGTCAACGACGTCTTCAGCTTCAACCTCAATAATACATGGGCAAACAATCAATACAAACTCAAGGTAAACCGCTTCAAACTCGATTGCAGAAAATACGACCTCAGCAACAGAATGGTCAACACCTGGAATGCTCTACCTGACTCTGTTGTTACATCCTCAAACCCTCACATCTTCAACCTTAAACTGTTTACTGTGGACCTCATCCCATTCCTAAGAGGTCCGTAAAGGGGGCATGCATAAGCACACCAACGTGCCTACCGTCCCTGTCCTACTGTCCCCATTTACTTGTACTCATTTCCTTCATTCATGTCCATGTTCATATTGATACCTGCTATCTTGTACATGTTTGACAAACTAATAAATACAAATAAATAAATATAAATCAAGACTGTTGCCAATTATGAACAATATGTACCGTATGAAACTTCATTATCAAAATGATGAGACACCGTTTTCATATATAATGTAAAATATCTAATAGCTCAAACTTGCTGAGTGAATATTCTTGTGCTTTATCTTTTTCTTGCAAACACCAATGGAAGCCAAAGGTAAACATGAATGAATGGACAACTGACCTTTTAGTTACTCGCACGTTTTTTTTCTCCTTTCTTCCACCCAATGGTTGGTTTGGGAGAAGCTTGTGGTTTGCAGTCCACAGTGACTTCTTGGCCTTTGGTAATAATAATGGTCTTCTTCAGTTGACTCAGGGGAAAAGTTGGAGCAGAAGCTATTGAGAAAAGAAATCAATCTCAATGGAACCATCCAAGCCCATTACGCCAAGAAATATTTTCAAAGATGGCACATCACCTTGGTTGGTTGGTTAGTTGACTCTCCCTCATGAAATGTCTTTATAATGCAAAATTATATAGCTGTTAAACAAAGTATATAATATATGAGGATGGGCTGAGATCCATTAATCTTACCAACCTTATCTTACCCATTAAATATTCTTTCATGCTATAACTGCATTATTTATGAGTGAAAGAAAGAAATGAAAGATTGGTCAAGAATGACAGGATGAAAGGATCTAATAACATCTATTCCAATGGACACATTTCATAGCTAGCAGGCTTCTGAAAACTTTAACACGCTTGCAATTTAATACATAATTTCTGTGTATTGATGAGAATGGTTTGTTTAACTCCATATATTGTATATCTCAGTCTTTATAAATCTTAGTTCTATTGAACAGTTTTGATTGATGAAAGTCTGCAATATTTATTCGATTTGTTGAGATAAGGGCAACAAGATAGCTAGCTACTTTGTACTTTCATTTCATTACAATGTATTTATCTTTAAATCAAATTTATTGGCTGCTCTACTCAGAGCAACTCTTGAATTTATATTTATTTCTGTTCCACACTATGTTTTTAAGTGTGATGTAATAATAACAATAATTTTATTCCCATACATATATATCAGAAATATAACTCAGCTTGGAGCATTGACTCAGTTTTCAGATGGTTGATTTGTTTATAACATTTCCATTTTGCCTTTTTTTTCCTATAAAGAACTGTCAAAGGATGTATAGGTAATCCTTGATAGTAGAATAGGGAGTCACTATTCGTTTAGTGACCATTTGAAGTTACAACAGCACTGAAAAAAGTGACGTATGGCCAGTAGTAGGATTCAGCTGGTTCGCACCAGTTCAACTGAACTGGTTGTTAAATTATCACCACCCTGCTATCAAAGTAGATCCTGGACACTGCGCTGCAATGGAGAAATGGACAACGGAGCAGCCAGCGTGAGGGAAGGAGAAGGCCACTTTCCCGCTTTCTTCTCCCTGCTCATCCTCTTTCCTTTGGGCCGGCTACTCCATTTCCCGTTTCTCCATTGCAACACAACGCAGCAACCAGGATCCACTTTGATAGGGTGTGTGTGGGTTCTCCCAGGGTCAGGTTGGCTGTCACAGGAGGCTCATCCCACATGTGCAGGATGAGGATGGGCCACGCCTCCCGCGACAGCCAACCTGACCCTAGGCAAACCAGTTGTTAAATTATTTGAATCCCACCACTGTCTGTGACCATTTTTCACACCTATGACAATTACAGCATCCCCATGGTCATGTGATCAAAATTGGATGCTTGGCAACTGGCATGTATTTGTGACAGTTGCCGAGTCATGTGGGGTGGTGTGATCACCTTTTGTGACTTCCTGACATGCAAAGTCAATGGGGAACAGCTGTGTTACTTAACAGCTGTGTTACTAATTTAACAACTGTTGTGATTCCCTTAACTTCTGCTGCCTGCCGGCTGCCTGCAATTTGACAGTTCGAATCTCAACAGGTTCAAGGTCGACTCAGCCTTCCTTCCTTCCGAGGTTGGTAAAATGAGGACCCAGATTGTTGGGGGCAATAGGCTGATTCTGTAAACCACTTAGAGAGGGCTGCAAAACAGTGGTGGGATTCAGCCGGTTCAGTCCAGATCATGCGAACTGGTAGCAGCGACTGCGGGAGGCTCCTCCCACCTGCCCGGACATAATGCTTGACTACTGTGCATGCGCAGAAGGCCATGCGCATGCATAGAGGTGGCACATGCGCTCACATTTACGAACTGGTAGGGAAGGTAAGTGAATCTCACCTCTGCTGCAAAAGCACTGTGAAGTGGTATATAAGTCTAAGTGCTATTCAGAGGTGGGTTTCAGCAGATTCTGACCAGTTCTGGAGAACCGGTAGCAGAAATTTTGAGTAGTTCGGAGAACCGGTAAATACCACCTCTGACTGGCCCCGCCCCCATCTATTCTCTGCCTCCCGAGTCCCACCTGATTCGGAGGAAATGGGGATTCTTTTCCCTCCCCTGGAGTGGGGAGGGAATGGAGATTTTACAGTATCCTTCCCCTGCCACGCCTACCAAGCCACACCCACAGAACCGGTAGTAAAATTTTTAGAAACCCACCACTGGTGCTATTGCTATTAGCAACAGAAAGTTTGGGCTCAATTGTGGTCATAAGTTGAGGACTACCTATATAACTAGATGAACACCTTCATTTCATTCTTTTGGGACTCTGGATCAACCCTGTAGTCTTAGCAAACGAATGGAAAAAAGAACAACAGCCTTAAATACAAACCTAAAATCTTCAGTTCAGCACTGGCATAGATGGCTCCATGCTTGTTTTCCGCTACGCACTGATACATTCCAGCATCTGACTGATTAACACTGTGGATCATCAGTACACCATTAACCATCTCAATCCTGCTCTGTAATGGAATAGAAATATAATTCTACAAAAGCAAAGAACATCAGGAAAAATTATTGGTTTCTCAGCTTTAGCTCAAGTAATGACGGCAGCAAAGGGAATAACATATTTGTGTGCTTAACATTTATTAAAGGAGCTTTTACTGACTGCCATGTTGACAGTTTTTCCATTGTTTTATCTGTGACTATGTTAAAATGTTTTTGGGTGCTTAACACTGCATACGATTAATGTTGGCGAGGATTATCCTTGCTCATGTTTAAAAATGAGACTTTGGTGACTATACGAAATCTCACTGTTCTGATCCTTTATTGCTATCAGCAATTATTCAGAGCTACTAACATGCTAATCTTGTGGGGGTGTGGGGGAATGAATAGGACTGTCTTATGTGGTTAGTGAGCCAAACCAAGCATAGACTATTATGGTAGTTTACTGAGGATTTGATTTTTATTTAGTTTGTACCATTTGTCATTGCTGTCCAGAATTGCAAAGACAGTAACATTGTCAAGCAGATTGTAATATATAGCTAACATGATGCATAATGTTTTGGTATCATAAGTATCATAGAACTGGAACAGATTTAACTCGCTGCTTTGGAATAAGCAAGGAATCCCTACTGAGTGACAATAAAAATATGATTTTTTTTTGTTTTGTTGTTGTTGTAGCAGAGCACTCATCTGAGCTAAGAAAATAAGCCTTTGACTTCTTGGTTAGTGTTCCGACTTGCCAGAAAATAAATGATTTACAGTCGGATTTTAGGGTACGATGGTTTCTCTTCAGTAAAGCTGGTGCTACCTATATGCCTTTTCATTCGAGACGGCGCACAGTTTCGAGGGGAGAGAAAAGCATCCTTGAAATGCCATTATTATGAAAAGGAGTTGAAGAAAACATTTTGTAAATGCTGAAAAGCTGAGAAAATGATACTTCGGAATGAGCGAAGTGAGTTCATTCTTCATGAGTATTTGGACACCTTGTTTTGAACACCTTGCAATAAAATGCAACGGCATACAAGAGGTGAATGTCTAACAATATTTATACCTGCGGGTTAAACTAAATACTTCTGTAATAAATGATTACAATCCATTTATAGATATGGATCTCTATACATGGATTGCAATCATTTACTACAGAAGTATATAGATATAGATAAGTATAACCAGCTACCTTGTGACCAGGAACTGATTTTATTAGTTGTGAAGAGCACAGCAGATGACACTGTTGATGCCACAATATAATTGGAAATCTTAACATGAAATAATTAGTTCAAGATAAAGAAAATTTGGTGCGTTTTTTTAAATAAGTATTTGCTTGCAATAAGAAGACTTCAGAATGCAACTAGTATTTTCTGTTTTATTAGTGATAAGGAAGAAGGAGGAGTAAATGGTTGAATGGCTATTTTCTTGATTGCATCTCATCATGACATTTAGGGCATAGGGCACCTAAAATAATAAAATATATAAAATGCACAAATTTAAAAAGTGCCTCTTCAGATTCTTGTGGGTTTTCACACACACTTTAAGAAAGAAAGAAAGAAAAAAAGATTCAGATTTAGGATGCCACAGATCTAAGGCTGAAAAAAAGAAGTATAGATTCATAACAGGTGATACAAACTTAAGCCATAACAAAAATATATGTTAATCTTTTTTTTAAAAAAGGAAACTTAATTAAAGCTCCTAAGCTTCTTGAAATATCAGAGCTCTTCCAACAGTTGCCAACAAATTAGAATGCTAATATGAAAAATGAGAAGAATTCTTAAATACAGAGGAAGTAATCATATTCCCCATAATTAATTTATGTTAATGTTATTTAAATCAAAGCTATTTTGTTGTTGTTGCTGTGATCATCTCAGATTTTTTTCCTGGCTCCATCTACGTTGGGAATTGTCTCCACTTGGAAAATGTTCAGCCCCCTGCTCTAGAATGACATTAAATATATCATGGTTTTACATCCTAATTCAATTGGCATCTGAGCCCAAAACCTTATTTTAAGACAGGCCACTCCAAACTTGGTGACTTTTAAGATTTCTGGACTTCAACTCCCAGAATTTTTCAGTCAGCCATGCTGGCTGGGGAATTGTGGGAATTGAAGTCCCAGAAGTCTTAAAGTTGCCAAGTATGGAGACCCATGTCCTAAGACAATCTGAAAGCAAATAAAACTACAGCATACTTACCTCTGGCCGTAGAGTATTCCCATTTTTCAGCCAGCGATAAGTTGGCCTCGGCTTTCCAGAAGCTCTACACTCCCACCGCAGTTGATCCCCACTGTCTAACTGGGTATCGTTCAGCCTCTCTGTCCAGTGTGGATATGCTGCCAACAATAACAATAATAACAGAAGATCCCGGTGATTAATATTGTGGAACTTTTAACTGATATTTTAAAAACAGTGTTTCTCAACCTTGGGATTTTGTTGCGTGGCCTTCAATTCTCCATGGATGGCTGGGGAATTCTGGGAGTTGAAGTCCATGCATCAAGCTCGTAAGGTTGAGAAACACTGCTTTAAACTAATTAGGTGATCAAATACTGTATGACTAATTTAGGTGATCAAATATTACTGGTGATAAGTAATTACTGGTGATTACTGGTGGTACTTTTGCACATTTTTCCAGCAATGGGTCAGACACAAGCTGATCAATCAGAAGTGGCTGAACAAACTGAGGTAACAAAGTGAAACTCAAAATGTCCTGGCATGACGGGGATGGTGTTGATTAAATGTCTTTGGGTGGTAACATCATTATCACAAGCACGGGCCAGAAAAGCAAAGATATCATCACTATGTGAGTTATATGGATGCTGTGAACTGTGATATGGGTTTCAAGCCAAAAATAGCATCTTCCATGCTGTTTCAACTGTGTAAGTCCCCATTTTGTCATGCTGCCTGTGCACACTGAGAGCTCTGCTGGATTTTGAAGCAACGGGAAGTTTCAAAATAAGGCACGAGAACAATAGCACGTATTGGCAAATATTATGATGGACTAAATTTAGTCACCAGTTAGTGACTGCAGGTAACTTTGTTAGCTCAAGCAGAAATGGGGATAAGTGGAATTCTAAAAGAGAACAATCAGGAAATGTACTTAGTACTTAATACTTTGTACTTAGATACAAACACCATTGACTGCCAACTCTATTCAAGACAAATTGTTGCATTATTTGGTACCTAAAGTCTGATTTCCCCATTAAAGGTAAAGATAAAGGTTCCCCTCGCACATATGTGCTATCTTTCCTGACTCTAAAGGGCGGTACTCATCTCTGTTTCAAAGCTGAAGAGCCAGCGCTGTCATCTCCGTGGTTATGTGGACAGCATGACTAAATGCCAAAGGTGGACAGAATCCCACCAAAGGTGGTTCCTATTTTTCTACTTGCATTTTTTACGTGTTTTTGAACTGCTAGGTTGGCAGAAGCTGGGACAAGTCATGGGAGCTCACCCTGTTACACCGCACTAGGGATTCGAACCACCAAACTGCTGACCTTTTGATCGACAAGCTCAGCGTCTTAGCCTCAGAGCCTTTAGGATGTTCTTATTTAATCATAACATTACCCTTCAGGGTAAGATAAGCCTAACTGCTCTATGAAGTTTAGCTGGAGTGAAGGTGAAATATAGCAGCTCATTTTGTTTTTACATATAGTTGTTTAACAAAGGTATGTTTTGCAGGAATCTTGGTCAAAAGAAACCACTCTTTCAAAGGTCTGCAGATATCATCCCCATCTCCCCCCCCCGGATTTGTTATCTCTTCCTTTCTTATCCATTGCCATTTTTTGTGGTTAAGTTTCAATTATAGAGTAAAAGAATGAAAAGGATGCAGACATCTGAATTATTTTAATTACTTGCCTTCCTTTTGCTCTGGGGGATGGGAAGATTAACAGATTAACAGAGTTGGAAGGGACATTGTAGGCCATCTAGTCCTACCCAAGCAAGAGACCCTACACCATTTCTGACAAATGGCAGTCCAATCTCTTCTTGAAAGCCTCCAGTGATGAAGTTCCCACAACTTCCGAAGGCAAGCTATTCCATTGGTTGATTATTCTCACCGTCAGAAAATTTCTCTTTATTTCTAGGTTGAGTCTCTCCTTGATCAGTTTCCATCCATTATTCTTTGTCTGGCCTTTGGGTGGCTTGGAAAATTGCTTGTCCCCTTCCTCTCTGTGGTAGCCCCTCAAATATTGGAACACTGCTATCATGTCTCCCCTGGTCCTTCTCTTCTCTAGACTAGCCATGCCCAGTTCCTGTAACTATTCTTCATATGTTTTAGACTCCACTCCCCTAATCATCCTGGTTGCTCTCCTCTGCACTTCAAAGTGATCTGTGTAAGATCATCAGTCTGACATAGAACTTGGGCATCTTCATTGGGAGCAGACGTTACACTTCTATCATTTATAGTTTGGCCTCATTTGTAACAGACAGACAGAAACTCCATTAATCAAAGTGAAGAATGAATGAGAGTACCTTTACAGCTTTTTCTCTCTCATTCTGAATATATATTCTGCATCAACCAATTTTATAATTTGACAAAACCTTTAATTCAAAAGGATGAATCAATTTGTAGTCATGTTGTCAAGGCTATCTTTACATTACAGATTGTAATAGTATTGGATGTGTTCAGCTGTAAAATTAAACTACAGTATGTTTTAACATCGGGAGAGCTACTATGAAAAGAAAATTTGGTTCCTCCTAGATTTCACCATACTCTTTCCTCCTTTGTCCCCAGACTTACAGTAGGAACGAGATTATCAAACATTTCCACTTATGTTTCAGATAAAATGAAATTTATTGTATAGCATAATCAGAACTCTAAATGTATCAGTAAATACATTTAGAAAAAGAAGTCAGCTTTGGTATAATTTAGTCTGAAGTGGTTTTACAGCAATCATAGTTAAAAATATCCATCTTCTGTCCATTTAGAAAAATAACAAAGAACTAGGATAATATATTACATAAGAAGTTGATCTAATATGGCTTATGACTTAGAATGTTGTATGTACCCGGTCAATGATCTGTGGTTAAAAATAATGACTTAACATGACATATAACTACACAAAATTACCTTGTGGTAAGATGGGTGGTAAATAAATGTAATAATAATGATAACTTAATAATAATTTAATTGAGAACAAATGCAAACAAATACACACAAATTGAGACAGCAACAGAAAGCAAGTGCTGCCTCTGCAAAGAAGCTGAAGAAACAGTGGACCATCTGGTAAGTTGCTGCAAGAAGATTGCACAGACTGACTACAAGCAGCGGCATGACAAAGTAGCAACAATGGTGCATTGGAAGATCTGCAAGAAATATATATTTGGCTGAAAGCAAGAACTGATGGGACCATAAAAAAGAGAAAGTCACAGAAAATGAAGCTAAATTGCTTTGCGCCTTTAGAATTCAAACAGGCAGGCACCTGCCAAACAACACCCCAGATTATAAACAATTACAAATAAAAAAGACCAAAAAGTCTGGCTAGTGGATGTGGTGGTACCTGGAGACAGTAGAAGAGAAAGAACTGGAGAAGATCACAAAATGCAAAGACCTGCAAATAGAATGTCTGTGACAGAATTTGGCTTCAGGATTTGGGTTTGGCTAGTCTAAAGAAAAGAAGAATTAGGGGTGATATGATAGCAGTATTTGAGGGGCTGCCACAAAGAAGAGGGGGGTCAAATTTTTCCCCAAAGTACCAGAGGGCAGGACAAGAAACAATGGTTGGAAACTAATCAAAGAAAGAAGCAACCTGGAATTAAGGAGAAATTTCTTGACGGTGAGGACAATTAACCAGTGGAACAGCTTGCCTTCAGGAATCATGGGCACTCCATCACTGGAGGTTTTTAAGAAGAGTCTAGACAGTCACTTATCTGAAATGGTATAGGTTCTCCTGCTTGAGCATAGGCTGGACTAGAAGACCTCCAAGGTCTCTTCCAGCTCATTCTGTTCTAATTCAGAAGCAAGCAAAAATGGTCCCAATAGTAATAGGTGCCTTGAGTGCAATCCCAAAACAACTGGAGCACCACTTGAATACCATTGGCATTGACAAAATTACCATCAGTCAATTGCAAAAAAGGCAGCCTTACTCAGAACAGCTTACATCCTAAGACTATACCTTTAACACCATCAAACCCCACATCTGCCTATCCCAGGCAATTGGAAAAGCCTCGATAGGTAGACCATACTGCCAAAGCCAGTCTGAACTTCTGAATGACTGGATGATGAATCATAATAATAATTTAATAATAACATGTACTCCGTGACGTAGTAATTTATACAAAATGGAAAGAAGAGCTTTTCAGTATTGTATACATAACTGAACAAAGATACAAAGCATATAAGTCTGGAAATGTCTTGGCTCATCATTGTATGACTAAATAGGGATTTAGAATAATCAAACCAATCTAATTTCACAGTTGAATCTCTGGATTCCATCTCATTTACAAAATATTTACTTAAGCAAAATTTCTCAGTCTTAATTTTATGTTTTGTAGAAATCTCCAGCTATGAGGCTAACTCCAAACTCTATTCACCTCATAAGGCTTTAGCAATGACAGCTGATGGTGCAAGCTACAGAACAACCGTATATTATTGATACTAGCTGCCAAGAAAAAAAAAGCTTTCTCAAATTAATAAGGCTTAACTCATTAATCCAAATTGCTGAAGAGTGTTTAAATCTCTTCTATATGACATTGAAGTCTAACAGGTTGAGAGGCCTGAATATCATGGAGTGCCAAATAAGATATTTGGCAGTGTAAGTCGGTAATGGAGAAGCAACACAGCAAAGGATCTATTTTGGATAGAATGAGATCACTGGAGCACTTTAATAACTGTTATTACACTGGACTGAATTTAAAAATGAATCACATATGCTATTTGGTATTTGGCCAGTCTTCAATTAGAGTTTAAATAGCTTCAAGAAAACCATTCCTATTCTGAGCATCTGTCATGGTTATAACAAATAGAACAGTCTTACCTAGATGGGGATAAGGTCTGCTGAACTATGGATGTTTATATGCACTGGTTTGTCCAGCAAAAATTGACCAGTAATGTAAGAACATCCATCATGAATTTGGTTTGTCTAGTTTAATGAAAAGAAGGACTAGGAATGATATGATAGCAATGTTCCAATATCTAGGGAGCTGCCACAAAGAAGAGGGGGGTCAACTTATTTCCCAAAACAGGACAAGAAGCAAAGGATGGAAACTAATCAAGGAGAGAAGCAATCTAGAACTAAGGAGAAATTTCCTGACAGTTAGAACAATTTAAGCAGTGGGACAATTTGTCTCCAGAAGTTGTGAATGCTCCAACACTTGGAGGTTTTTAAGAAGAGATTGG